ACCGCGCCTGCTTGCATTCTGTCAGGGACACGGGGTCGCGCCGCGGATGCTATGTAGGAGCTGAAACTTCTCAGCGACTCGACTACGCCACTACTAGACATCACCACCAGCATCAAGTCAACAAATTGTCATATTGTTTTGAAGACAGTTTAAAATAAACATGCGTGTGTACTCGTATATGTGGGGCGCGTGACGCGTGCGGGGCGAGGCGGGTTGGGCTTTCGGCACGCGCGTTTCTCCTAGCAGGCATTAACCTAAGAGCGTTCGCTAGGCGACCTAACAATAGCGCTCCCGAATTAGCGTCCACGCGTACGTGGCCTATAATTAAATACATCTCTCGCTCGTATTTTGAAATGTCAAACTTTATTATAGTTATAGTTTGTGTGTGTGTTTCCTGTCCCCCGGTCTCTGCTGTAATCTCGCAGACCCTGGCTCGCACAATCTGCCCCACGCTAATTGTACGAGCTGATAGTGAGTTTAACAAGATTGATCGTACCCTTCAAACACTGTCCGAGCAACAACATACAAAATCCTGTCGACGGGTTGCATCAGTAAATCCAGGAGACATTTGCTAGCTAAGCAGCACTTCTACTAATGACAAACATAGTTTGTTCCGTATGAAACAAGAACATTTAAGAATAGAATGGAATTAAGGCAATTTTACAAACAAACCGTGACTAGATACTTAAAGCCTTCAACCCCATGACCCAACGTTCCCAGTACCAGTACCAGTACTATGTAACGAAATGCCAATATGAATATTGAAACCTTTCTAATAATTTCTATTGTTAAGCTTATGTTAATTTCTCAATTAGTCTACAGCAACCAAAGCAGATAATAGCACTCATCTGATATATATGTAATGGCAATATGTGTACACCTACTTCGGTTTAAAACTTAGTTTCTCTAGTTCATTATTGTCTTTTGTAATTATGTAATGTAATTTGTATGTTTTAAGCTGTTTGGTGAACCTAATAAAATAAATAAAAATAAATAATAGCTATTTTTTATTGTGTAATGAGCCTACCAAACAAGCGACGATTATAATTTGCTAAAATAGCGAAGTGATCGCTGCCCACAGACATCTTCATTTGCAAATGCGTTTCCTACCTTTAAAGGGCATGAGGGCAAGAGGGGAGATGCACAGAAAAAGGACTTTTCCGTACCTAGGCGTCCCCCTTACCAAATCCACTTTCCGGCTAAACCACTGTTACAGATTCATTGTATGGGTAAGGACCCATAGTACCCGCTACAATACTATACACATAAACAATTACTAGCGGGTAAAGGCAGAGACTAGGAATTTTAAATAAGCGCTATACATATCTTTCTCGTGTTGTTCTCGTTTCTACATTCACATAATATAACCATGGGAGGTCCCCGGTTACGGAAGCACTTTACACTAACTTTTATTTGTAAGTTATCAATGGACGGAATAAGTTTGTCGAAAACGATCCTTAACGTTATTAAATTCGTATTTTCAAGAAGTTCAATTTTGTCAACGAGGCCAAAACAAAGCCCCCCTCCCCCCCTCACCTGAAACATGCGCAATTATTATGTTTTAAAGCCACTGTAATTCAAATTGTATAAGTACACTTAGGTCCACTTTCAAAGCGATCGTCATTTCAAGGTCTTGTTTTACACCTCGAGGCGATACAGCATGTACTGATCACTAAATGTGGGTACAATATCGTCCACACTATAAATTAGTCCGTACACATCGGAGACCACCTACCCACAGATGTCATTTGAAGATCCATACCACCCTAATTGTTTTTAGAAGGGGCAGAGTTTTCATATTAGGCGCGAGGAATTTTTTGCAACTGCAATACAATATTTCAAACAATCATGTTTTTATTTATTGTACAAATATGTTAACATGCTTATGCGTTTTTGCAAGTATAGGATTTTGCGCTCCAATATTGACCGAGAAAACTTTTAATTTCTTGATGAGACTTTTGCGTTAATTTCCGTCCTTATTATAACATAACATAAAAGTAGAACATAACGATCCGTCAGTTTTTGCCGTTCATAGTTTAGATTGACAGTTAAAATAGGTCGTTTCTGAAAAATAGCGCGCGGTGACATTCTTCCAATGCCAGAGGCCAGAACATGCTCTCAGTCTAAGCCACTAATTCGATCACTGTTAAAATAAATGTGTGTGAAGGGTCGCGTCAACGACATTCATTGGGATAAGCGCCACATGACGCGGCCACTCGACTCACCATCCAAAGTAAATTGTCCCGATGACGGCGTAAGCTTGCATACGGCATACAAGACACTGGCTACACTCACAGTACATACGTCCGTCTCGCAGAAATTCAATCGTGGCACTGGCGGGCGGGGGCGCGGCGGTGGCGTCTCGGGGGGGGGGGGCTCCCCTCCATCGCCACTGCGCACACGCAACATGGATAAACGCAATACTTGGGATTGCTGTTTTGTTCACATCATGGGGGTGGATCAAAAGGGTAGATTATTAGGGTGTTATTTAATATTTTTTATAACGCAGACATTTACGAAAGAGACCACCCGTGACTCCTTTGAACATGTATAATGAAATTCAAAGTATCGTAAATATTACTTATACGTATTAATTAATTTTACGACATTACGGTAATATAAAAGAACGTAGCATGCAAAATTCAAATTAAAGCACGAATAATAAAGCAAATTTCATATAGTTTGTCTAAAGAAGATAGTTTAGTTTGATAAATGACGCGTATCAAGTATCGAACTAAATTTGTATGAAGGAAAATGCCGTACTTAATAGACAGGTATCGTAGTGACGAAACAAACACGCATAGCGATCAATTATAACTACCAATATTAGATTTAAATGAAATTTACTAAAATAATAAAAGTGAAAAAAAAGAGTGGCTTTTTAGACTTCTTCCAAAATAATAGTTTTCTTATGTTTTGTATCATAATAGTTCTTTTTACATGAAAAACAAATGAAAGGCGAAGGGTTTTGTTTTGTTTTCTTCTACAAGGCTTAAGCGCAGTTTTTAAAAGAAAACTTGTAGAAAAAAAGTTGAAGTAAAAAAAATTACAGCTTTTCAAAGTTAAAGAAAGAAATTTTGTTTTAAGAAAATTTTCAATAACCTTTTTTATTTAGTTTTCGTGTGAGTTATTCCAATAAAAGGCATAACTGTACAAAAGCCTAATTATTAGGATTGTTAATGAAAAAAGTGACTACTTCAAACACATTATTTTCGATGTACGGTCAAATTTAAATCGGAAATCTAATTTCTCCGATTTTTTTTACAAAAAATTTAATGGGGCAACATCATTTGCGTTTAAATAATAGCTATTGAAGTCCTCTACATCCACAAAACCGTTGATCCGTCCGTTAAGAATCATCCGGTAGATAGATAGGTACAATTATGCAGATATTTCCTAGTTCTGTCGACGGTAATTACATATTTCACATTTATTAACAAGATGGCACGAGCGGCAGTGGCTCAGGGGCCAGGGGTCACAAATCACAGGTCCTATGTTAGAATTTCACAATGCACCAATGTGTTTTTCGATTTACGAATTTCATATTTACATAGCTTACTTGACGTTCTCACCGTGAAGGAAAACATGTATAGTCAACCCAACTGCAGTGTGCCAGCGTAGTTGACTATGGCCTAGTCACCTCTAACTTAGGGTAGGTTCGGGTTCCTTAGTTCAGCAGGTATCTTAAAACCTTATTTTCGTACATTTACATACGTGTAATAATCAAATACCTACGTGTCTGCAGGACTCCTCGGCGACAGCACTCTTTCTACGACCACAAGCAGGCTCGCTCTACTACTTACTACTACGAGTTATTCTACGTTAGGATTCTTTACTTTCTTGGTTAAGCATTTACTTAGTGTAAATTAATTATTACGAACGGTTCCCACACACATGGAAACATGTTTATTTTTAATAACCGATTGTTTACAAGAAGCGACGCGGCGGGTGGACGGTGGACCGCGAGGAACAACTACTACTTTACAATAAAATTATTTAAGCCGAGATTTTAGCCCACTCTGCGGGGCGGGGCGGGGCGGGGCGGGACATGATGGCTGTCAGTGTTACAATGCGATGATAATCATTATCAATACCATAGAAGTAATAAATAAATAAATAAGTACAACGTACAACAGTAGTACATCCATGATCAATACAGAATCCGACATTATGCTTCACGTTTATGCCGAAGTTAAAATCAATACAGATACATTATGTAGATAACGTAATAAAATAAAAAAAATCTGTGTTCCTTTTATCATGACCGAGAAATAACGTAACTACATTTCTTTTGGCTGTTTTTTTTTTGTGTATATCAATATGATTGTCACTTATTCGCACGTTGAAACAAAAACATTAATATTTTTTTAGAAGTACACATGCAATTTGTTTTCCAGATAAATCCTACGTAACATCAATAATTACTTGTATGCTTTTTGTCTATTGCATTTGTAATTTGTTTCCTGTATCTTTAGAGGTAAGTATTACATGTATATATATGTACATATGTGTATGTGTATCTTTATGTGTATAGGTATATGTCATATCGCTAACTGAAGAATTTAGACTAATATAGGTAAGTAGAGTAAACTACAATCCTTTATTCTTCCTTTGTCGTTATGATACAACTAAACAAGAGTAATGTATCACATCGTTGATGTCTTTTTTTATGAAAATTCCACCAGAAGTGAGTTTGCAGCTGATCAAATGGCGCCAGCTCGAAGTGAGAATGAGGGACTCTATTAATAGGCGCAATCAGCTAAGCATAAAAAAATAATGTCAAACTCTTTTGCTGCATCGGTCGTGCTAAAAATCAGTACAGAACATAGAATGGTCTCATATACTCGCGCTCACTCAAGATAAAAGGGAAATTTGAATGTGAATTAGTTACTAGATTAATAATTTATCTGTTAATAGAGGTTAGAGGCGAAAGAAGTGGTCTAGATGGTGGTGCGGCGGCGGAGCGGGCTTGCTTGTGGTAGTGCGCAGCTGTCGCCGGCGTCAGTAGAGCGGCGCACTCGTCCCCGCCCGCACGCAGCACGCAATACACTGCACCTCGGCCCTGTCTACACGCCACGTCGTACACGACCTGTCAACTGACCGACACTAGGTAACTTTCCAAGTATGTAACACTTTATGGTCAACACTATAACTTGTGTCCCCAGGAAATTAACCCCACCACATTTCTGCATCAAGCTCACCGACTTCGCCGATGTACCGTTACTGTTAGCGAATACAGTGAGTTAGAAACGGGTCGCGACACCGCAATTATGCTATCCTAGATCCCACTCGACGTAGGATCCCCAATGGGCTCGAAACCAGTCTTTTTTTTATAATATAAGGTTGCAAACGAGCAACGGCCACCTAAATCCACCGAAATGGAAAGCGACCGCTGCCCATAAACATCCGCTCCGCAATTGCAGATGCGCTGCCTACCCTTAATTGACGGAGGAGGAGGTGCACATAAAGAGGATATTTCCCCTTCCCATGCGTCTTCTCCACCGTCAAATCCACTTTTCCTTCCGACGAAATTTGTAAAATATTCGATTACATAATAAATTATCGACTCGACGTGAACCAACGAGAAATGCTGAATTACGAAGCGCGGGCACAACAAAATAACTTACATTTACCTATTTGTATTCCATGAATACTAAAGACAAAAGTCTACTATTGATTAAAAACACGTTTCAAATTAACCGAACGCGAAAATGTTTATTATGTCATGAATAATCGCCCCCGCACACTACAGACTTTTTATCAGCCGATAGTTTAGTCTGATCGGACTGGCAAGTCAAAATAAAACATAAAATATAAGAAAAAAAACCTGACTGATCAAAAAACTAATTGTACTCAAAATCATCGAAAATTATACTTAAAATTGATAAAAAAAATGTTATGTCAAGTGTTGAACGCGGGTTTTTCTACCGTTAGTTGTTGGTGTTTTGTGATGACGTACGAGTACCCTCGTAATATATCCTATGACACTCGCAGAAGTGGAATCAAATGATACCACAACGGTCAAAATCTGTCCACTCGTTTAGGCTCTAGGCTCTAGACCCGTCACAATGGAATTTACGTACATACAAACCCACATGAATAAAAGTAAATTTACAAACATTACCTTCTTTGTCAGTCGGAAATCTAAGGAGATCTATCACAACCTATTCGCTTTTGATAACCCGCCCCGGTCTGCGCTCATCTCCATACACCCAGCCTCCGCCAGCGGTACTGTTGTACATTTTGGTCTTTGATACTTATATAACAAACCCTGCATTGCGGCGTCTCAATTGTCTTTTTGTCCACAGAATATCTAAGCTCCAAAGCGTTATCCGACTTAGTGTAAGGTCGAAGACGAAGGCGTGACCGCGGCCATGCTGGTCGTGCTGTTGGCAACGCTGGTGGCGGTACTGGCGTGGTTATGGGCCGCCGGAGCGTACAGCTACTGGCGACGCCGTGGGGTCCGCCACGACCCTCCGCTGCCGCTGTTCGGCAACAACGCCAGGAACTTCTTCATGAAAAAAAGCATGTCGGAGCTCGCTGACGAAGCGTACTGGAAATTCCCGTCGGAGCGGGTTGTCGGGTTCTACCGAGGCTTCCGCCCAGAGCTCGTCATCCGCGACCCCGAGATCGCCAAACGCATTCTGACTATCGACTTCATGCATTTTTATCGTCGCGGGGTGAACGCGCACGACAAGGTGATCGAGCCCATGTTGCGCAACCTGTTCTTTGCGGACGGCGACGTGTGGCGGCTGCTGCGCCAGCGCATGACGCCGGCCTTCAGCAGCGGCAAGCTGCGCGCCATGTTCCCGCTGATAGCAGAGCGCGCGGAGCGGCTGCAAGCGCGAGCGCTGGCCGCCGCGCTCGCCGGCCATGAGCTAGACGCGCGCGATCTTATGGCGCGCTACACCACGGACTTCATTGGCGCATGTGCCTTCGGACTCGAGGCAGACTCGCTCAACGACGAGAATTCGGCGTTTAGACAGTTGGGTGCCAAAATTTTCTCACCGTCAAAGAAAATTTTTATTACTTCACTTTTGAAGCTAATGTTCCCCGAAATATTCAAGTACGCTAAAACTCAGGGAGCGGCGGAACAGGGTATCGTCAGCTTAGTGAGAGATATACTGAGCCAAAGAAATTACCTACCGTCGGAGAGAAACGACTTTATAGATCTGCTCCTGGAGTGCCGGGCCAAGGGAATCATGGTGGGCGAGTCGATAGAGCATTGCAACGGCGATGGTACACCGGCGACAGCGACGCTAGAGTTGGACGAGGAGCTAATGGCCGCGCAGGTGTTCGTGTTCTTCGCGGCAGGTTTCGAGACTTCCTCGTCAGCGACCAGCTTCGCGCTACACCAGCTCGCGCACCACCCGGAAGAACAACGCCGGGCGCAGCGAGAGGTGGACCGGGTGCTGGCCGCGCACGGTGGCCGCCTCACCTACGAAGCCGTCAAGGAGATGGCCTACCTGGACTGCGTGCTCAAGGAGAGCATGAGAATGTTCCCGCCACTGGGATTCTTGATCAGGCGATGCTCGAGGCCGTACAAGATCCCAGATATGGAGCTAACGCTGGAGGCGGGCGTCCACGTAATCGTGCCCCTGCAGGCGATGCACAACGACCCGCAATACTTCACCAGCCCAGAGCGCTTCCTGCCGGAGCGATTCTTACCGGGGCACGTCGACCGCTCTCGCGGGCTCTACCTGCCCTTCGGCGCGGGCCCGCGGGCATGCATCGGTACGTTTTCACAACATTTATTAATTACTTGACATGGCTTAATGTCTTATCTCCCTGTAGTGAGACATAGAGTTTGAGAGGCGCTCCCTAATTCAAAGATTCACGTAGTGTCCATCAGTGACGTTTGTGGTGTGCAGGCGAGCGGCTGGGGCAGATGCAGTCGCTGGCGGGGCTGGCAGGCGTGCTGTCACGCTGCACGGTGTCCCCGGGGCCGAGCACGGCGCGCGCGCTGCGCATCGACCCTAAGACCAGCATCGTGCAGAGCGTGCGAGGCGGCGTGCCTCTGCGCTTCTCCGCACGAGAACACGTCGCTCTCTAGCAGCTTCTCACCTTCGCAATAAGGAATATGCGTCTCATTTTTTTAAACGTTTCAAAAAAATTGATGTGAAAAAACAACCATCGAGGTAAAAAAATTACGATTTCGCACAGCTAACACACGGCCAGAGTTTTATGTCGTCAGCAACAAAGTATTTGATTGGTTCTCAGAGTTATCAAAAGTCAAAAAGCGATTCTTCTTCTTGAAGTGCCATCTTCTTTCGAAGTTCGGCGATCATTAGGGCACCTTGCATTCTGGACACCGCGGCTCTAAAAAGTGAACGGGCACACTTTCCAAACAACTGGCGTAAGTTGTTGAGCCAGTATATTACTATTGCAATACATAAAGAGATTAAAGCAACAAATAATATTGCCTCGTCATATCGATAATAAATTATTATCAATATTTAAAAACATTTTGAACGTAAATATTTTTACTGCATTACATTACATCCACACCCATTTTTCTGCAAACAACGAAGGGATCGATAGATATCTGGCATAAGTATGTTATTGTTATAAAGGGAAATATCAGACATGTGTAGCCCTCTCATTCGTTTCAATTTCATTTGGCGTGCAACAAGACTCTTACGCCCATATCATAAGATCTTATTTTCTCTATTTTAACTGCAAGAGGTACAGATAGTACACACTCCTGTTGTACGGTGTACTTATTACCTCCATGGCGTCGTCATAATAAGTGTCACTTGCTTCGACCAATAGCGTTGCGTTTTTCAACATGGCGAGGGAATTTTGAAAAAAAAAAAGAAACTTTTTTATGATATTTCGCTACTAAAACATGTTATATTAAAAATCTAAATATAATTGTATAATAATAGTATACAAAAAAAAGTAGAGACTGTAAATATTTCGTTGATAACTTGGAGAAATTCAATAAAACAGACTTTTGCGTGTACTCCGTCAGTTACAAGTTTTGAATGCAGATTAATAAAATTCATGCTCCGTGACGGTAATGCCGAAATTTGTTCGAAAAGTGGCAGGCGCTCGCGAACAGAGACTAACCTAAGTAGGTTAAAAAACGTTTATGAGTATGAATGTTTTTTCTATTTGAAATATGTATTTTAGTATCAAATAACTTTTAACATATGTTCAATTTAACAAATACAATTAAGTATTTCTTTGTTTTGTGTATTTTGAAACCTCCGTATACTTATCTTGGTGTGGAATGTAAGGATATTAAAAAAAACATAAAATAGAAATTATTTAATTCATCACAATTATACAAACTAATTCTGAACGTCTTTAACTTAGCCTAATGTTTTATACTAGTACTAGCGGTCGACCGCGACATTGCGCGGAATTACAAATAATAAACAGCCCATATTCCCGCCGTCATCTGACACCTCCAAAAATCCTGGTCAAAGTCAAACGACCGGAGATTAGCCGCAACTAACGCGGCTTGCGGACACACACAGACATACAAGAAGTTTAAAATACATATTGTTAACGAAATAGTTCTTTCTATTTCAATATCACAAGCACACATTTCAAATTCAATATATGTATAGATATGAAGGCGCGATGCGAGGGTGTAGTCTGTGGGCACGATGCGAAGGCGCTCCGAGCGTCGTCATCGACAGGTCTTGGTCGAAGAGCGCTACGCGCAAGTCGCTGCCTGCGCACTGAGCGCTAGGCGCTGGGCGCAGGGCGCAGGGTGCTGGGCGGT